GGAACAAAATAAGTATTGCTTTATAACTTCCCAGTCACCGCCTGCCAAAGGCTCTAACGCACAGTTTTCCAATCCCTCGCCAAATGGAGTTGGGGACTTTCTCTAAGTTTGTGCCACTGTTTGCATCCCTTCCCCCCACTATACACTCTTGATCTTCACTTTTAGCAGCCTAGGGCCAGTCACACAACATAGGATAAGGTCACTTATCTGTTCTCAGGGACTCACTGGAGTCATTGTGGATAGTTCTATGAAAACATCTGGTCAATGTGCAGCAGCAGTCAAAAAAGCTAGCAGAATGTTAGGAACCATTAGGAAAGGGATGGATAATAAGACAGAAAATATGATAATGCCACTGTATAAACCCAGGATACACCCACACTGTGGCTGCTGTTCTGGTTGCCCCCTCTCAAAAAAGATATGTTAGAATTGGAAAAAGTACAAAGAAAGGCAACAAAAATGATTAGGTGTATGGAATAGCTCCCGTATGAAGAAAGATGTTGTTGTTCAGAGGTATTAAAAAAACCACACACCACCAAAAGACAAAAGTTTTGCCAACGAAAAGCGCCGGTGTGAACAGTGCTTTGTCGGTGGGAGTGCTCTCCTGCCGACAACACTAACGCCGCTCATTGGGGGTGGAAGTTTTTTGTTGGCAGGAGAGCGCTCTCCTGCTGACAAACCACAGCTACACTGTGCGCCTTTTAGCGACACAGCTGTAGTGGCACAGCCGTGTCGCTAGAAGCTGCGTAGTGTAGACATAGCCTCAGGCATGTTTGCAATTGCATGTGATCAACAACTTTTTCACATGTCTAACATGACAATGAAATTGAATTAGTGCCTCGCTGACTGGTGTAAGCCTAATTGGTTCATTTTTAAAAAATGAAAATGAATAATCTACTATTTTTAGATATAGAAAGTGCTATCCTGCAATGCACCTCAAGTCAATGGGCGTCTTCCTGCTGATTTCACTGAGTGGGTGTTGTATTTCTTTCTCTTTTTTATAGCCACATTACAGATGGATAAACAAGTAGAAGTTTATGATTAATATTACCACTTGCGTTCCTCTCAAAAACTTTTTAATACAAGGTTAGAAGTTATATTTATTAAATTATTTTGTTTCAAAATGACATTCAAAAACATCTATGATGTCTATTGTCTGAAACCATACATAATTACAATCAGCAGAACAGCAGCAAAATTGTGATTCAGGTAAGAATGTACTTACTTTCACAACTATGCTTAGACCATAGGGATGGGAATATAGGAGCATGCATTGCATGCGGCGTCTTCCATCAATCATTAACACATTTGAAATAATGTTGAATTAGGTCCTGACTCTCTAGCTCTAGGATTAAATTAAGCCCTTTCTAATTCTGCTTTTAGTAATATGGCAATCATTTAAACCAAAATGTCAGCTCCAAATATCCTAGTCTTGCCACTGATTTACTATATAGGACATCTGTCCCTATTTCAGACTATGGGTCCGTTTCCGAGATAGGGGAGCCTTAATTGGATTCCCAAATGCCATACAGTTTTACATTCTAATTAGCTGGAGAGGGAACATTACATATCCACATTCCTACTCAAATGCCCATCTGCTCCCTAACTTAGATGCCCAAATTTAAAATAGGGTTCTTTGAGTCTAGTAATCTTACAAGATTTAAGGCCTGACTCAAAGCTCATTGAACTCCACCAAAAGACTCCCAAAGACTTTGGATCACAGAACCTTAATACCTGGAAACCCCATAGTGAAAGAAGTTCAGTACTTCAAGAAATATTATTGTAATTGCTATTACTCTCACTTATCCTCTGCTCTAGCACCAGATAAGTTCCTACCAGTAACTGGAAGACAGTGCAGTCTTTGGATGGACTGGCACAGTGTAGCATAGAGCATTGAACTAGAGGATGATTAAGATAAACAGATTTAATTCATTTGGACACTTCCAGGTAGCTATTCTGCATAAAATATTTTATGACTCATGGTTCATCTCCTGTGTCCACACAACTCAGATACAGCTGTTCATTTTCTGGCAATAAATCCAAGCTGGTGGTATTGCTGAGACAGCCAAGTTTAGCTCAGTTTAAATCTAGATAAATGTCCTCCTCAACTGCTAAAGGGTTAAACTGAAAAAATGGGATTTGCCGAAGAAATATCCTTGTAACTAGATCGCCTCTTCATCTGTACCCAATTGGAATTAAACCTCAATTTAAAAGGAGGGGCAGGAGGGCTGTGGGTAGAAGAGGAGAATAAATAAGAACATCGGGGAACAGAAGGAAATGGTAGATGAGAAGAGGAGAGTGCCTTCTCATTATCTGCCTTACTAGAGAGGCTGCTGGATACTTATACACCCAATGAACAATGCCAGGTATGAACCTAGAGGGAAAGGGCATGCAGGTTACAGTGTTGGTGCTTAACTCTGAATCTGTCGGGTGAGGAAACTAGTAAAGCTGGGCTAAAATAGTCCATCTGGAGTTTGCAAAAGGTCTTCTCCAAAGCCCAGTGAAGACAATAGGACACTTCACATTGATTTAAGTAACAGTTTTGGATCAGGTTCTAACAAAGTGCTTTTGATACCTTTAAGGATTATTTCCTATGTTAAAATGTCCTCTAAATAAGCACACACCTTGCCTTTCTACCTCTCTATTTCTGTACCTAATTTCATATTAAATAAGTCAGTAATAATGTTTAGAGGCTCTTACTCAAAAAAGGAATACTGTGCAGGCCAATCCTTTGCAATAAGCACTATAAATTGGCAGACTCTTACTACAGGGGATATAATTTAATTGCTTTGCAATCTCAACTGCCACACAGATAAATCACGTCCAGTTTATTTTGCTTATTTTCCCCTTGCTGTGTCACATAAGAGAGTATCCTTTCATAGTGCTAGACTTTCTTTTAACTACATTTTTTAAAATAATGTATTTGGTACATGCTCTTTCAGTAACCAAATCCCATTTAAAAAAATAAAGAATGAATTTACAAGCCATATTCCAGTGTTATAGCACAACTGATAAGAGTTCATAAACTGGTGAAAGAAAAATATTACGGCTCTTGTTTTCTAACTAGAAAACTACAATTTAAAAATGTAATCCTGGTCCACTGAGCTACAAATTTCAGAAATGACCTGATCTTTGCACTGCTGTATTTGTGTTCATTGTGCCACAAACACCAATATAGCAAATAGCCTATCATAACATTTTATTATTTCATTACATTTTTATGAATGCAAATAAAATCGTCACTGCTATTTATATCTTTAATTCTAATATAGGACAAATATATTTAGAATCCCACCCCACCACTACCACCTCATTTACATCTTAGCTAAAGATACTGACCATTCTAATCAATAGAGTACCCAGATAATATGGGCATAGGCACTTTAGAAATGTATAGAGAAATAAAAGATCTTATGAAACTTTTTGCAACAATGGGGATCTGCTGCATTTAATTTGCTTGAGCTCCCTTCGGCCTGAAAGAGTGTGTGTAAAATATAATTTCCCTCCCTAAAAATGCCTTTTCAGCCTTTTATTGGGAGTGGAGAGAGGATGTCAGCACCACGGAATGCCTTTAATCAACATAGGTATGCTTGTGAGAAACAGTTTCCTCTTTTTGTTAGCCCTACACAGCACACTTATTCTTGGTTGATGTATGTAGTATTGGGTAAGGCACTGACTACAAACTAGAGATCTTGGGCCCAAGCCCATTCCTTAGCTACACCACATTGCTGGAATTTTATTACTATAACTCACTGGGTTCACAAATTGATAGCATGAACTGTGCAAGCATAACTAAGCACTTAGGCTATGTGCACTTGGTATCTGTTAGAAAATAAATTTGATATGGAGGAGAAGTGCAGTGTAAAATTAAAACAGCCTGTCTTTTTTGCAAACTGCTATCATTTGATTTCTCACCTATCAACTGTAGTGTTTTAAAAAAAAAAGCTATGATTTAATGTTAGTGGCAATAAGATACACTAAAACAATATTTACTCTTACAATTCTCATGGAAAGACCATGGAATTGAAACCACAAATAAAGTTAGAAATAAACACTACAAAATATTTTAACAACCATCACATTTAGTGCAAATTCAGGTCCCCTGGCCAACATAGCAAGGAAAAGGTACTATGTTGCACAACTGACTTTAATGGGGATAGAATATCACCCGTGGAGTAACAGATAATTACTGCTTCACAACACAGAAGGCCAAACATTTGTCAGGGCACTTTTAATAGATTTCTAAAGGAAACGGTGCCAAATTTTACTTTCCTTTAACAGATGTAACTTCAACTGGATTTCAGAGAGCAGGAAGAGGCCTGCAATTTTCACACTGGGCATACTCCTGCTCCTTTCAAAACCAAAGACAAAAATTCCCATTGACTTCAATAGTAGTTTTTCTCTTGAGCTCAGTGGGCATTGGGTTAGAATTAAGGGAGCAAAAATCAGTTTCTGGATGTTTAAACTCTGATTTGCATTATTGAGCATATTACAAAAAATGTTAGAGCAGTTCATTAAAAATGTACTTCTAATTAAAAGAGTCTGCTTATCATACCCTCAAGAAGTTTGCTTAAGGGAACTTTTGACTTTTGGTTAATTATTATTAACTTAAATGCATCTTTCCCAGTAATACATTTTAAAGTATGTTAAGTTCTGCAGGCAAATTAGCTAGTTTTGTAGAAATGTTGTTGGTTACAAACACAAGCTGACAGAACAAGTTCTGTCCCATCTGTAAGCCGATTAAAGTCAATAATATCAATTAACTCATATTCCATTTTTTCCCCTAAAAAAATGAAATCACTGCCGGGCACCTTGTTGGTGTTTAAAGAACAAAACCCAAGATTACTCTTTTACCATGGGAAAAGTTTTCAAAAGCACCTATAAAACTTAGGCTCCTACATCCCTTAGTCACTTTTGAAAATGTTACTCTAGATTTTAGGTACTTTCACTGGAGTAAAAAAAATCAATATATAAAGTAGAAATAAAAAACACAATTTCAAAAATTCATAGTGTTCATTTATTACCTCTAGTAACATATTATTATACTGTATAAATACTCTATCCTTGTTATATGTCCTTTTAAAAAAAGCGATAACTTAGAAGATCACAGGAAGTATAAAAATAAATAGGTTCATTATACGCATTTATTACAAACTATAACCCTTCCCAGAAGGTAAAGAAATATAAAATACTTATAAAGTACATATAATCTATAGTAATATATTTTACTATATACATATGGAAAGCCATATTCTCTCATAGTCTATGGACTGGCACAAACTTTTAATTAAGCAACTGCTAGTGTACTGCTGTGGATGGACCTGCTATCCTTCAGCTTTGTCTTTCCCGCCTTATAAAAGTGATTTGAGCACTATAAAAATATTAGATGTCATATATTAGAGATTCCCATGCATATTGGGAATTTCTTTTTCCTTTGATCTGTCTCTAGCATAACACAAATAAGTAAGCTAGTGTGGGCCGGAACATGGTAAAAAGTTAGAACTTGAGACAGCGCTCAAACCTTCACTGTAATAACTTTGATTGACAGTATGGTAGAACCAGAGTTGAACCAGAGAAACCAGTGGTTTGGTCAGGAGGCACCAAAAGCAACAACTTTTAGAGAGTACCTGTTCCATGGAGATTGCCACTTATTCCAGCTTTTGTAGGTTACGCATGTCACAATGACTACATCGGCATGGATGAGAGAAATGGATAGAAACATTGGGGTGATACAAAGATGCTTAAAAATAGAACATTCTAGTTGTCTGCAGGTTAAGTTAGGTTAAGTTAGAATGATTGTTCTTGATATTTTTGACTCTTTACTTGTGGAGAATATGGCTTTATTTTTCTATAAAACTAATCTCTGAAACAATAGCAGCCATGAACAATGTAGTTGAAACTCCTTTTCTAATCCTGTTTTTTGTCCTTTGTGAGGTAGGTAAGCTTTGACCAATTATTTTAAGCTTAGACAAAAGCTATTTTCTCCCTCCTGCCCCCCATCCCAAGCCACCCACATAAAAAAACCTAGGGACTTGAACAGTACCACAACACAAATCTAAAGGGGGGGAGGGGAATCTGAAATGTTTACTTAAACTCAGTTTGGCCCCTGCTTGTTTTCTTTAACTTGTAACTGACTTAAAAAGGAAATTATAATGCCTTAGGGCTTTATCTACTGAAGATGAAAGAGTCAGTGACATTGGCTTGCTAAACTATCAAATCTGCACTTTGCAGGATATTTTTATGATGCAACACCACCCTAAAATCATTTGTACTGTCCCCTCTCAATGAATCCTCACCATGACTTTTATATGCAAGACACACATGCTATCTCTAACTTTCTTGTTTTCAGTGCACTGTTCTGGAAAAAAAAATCTTTAGCTTTCCCAACTGAATACTGTTTAAGTGCACTTTGTAACATTGCAAAAGTCTATTAAATGTTTAGGTTTCTTTGAAGGGTCACAGCTTTCTTGTGGCAACATACTGCCATCATAAGACATACATTTTAATAATCTCTTCTTGAATCCTTTCCCACATGTCTTAGAACATGGTGACCAGTCTCCCAATTGCCACTGTGGGCAGGGCATGTCTGCACATGGTCGGAGATCATTTGGTTTGAGTTCTTTTGCACAGTCTGTGGCAGACTGCCCATTAAGGTCTCTGCATTTGACAGATCTTCTTTGCCAACCGGACCCACATGACTTTGAACATTCTCCCCATTCTTCAATAACCCATTCAGATAAGATGGTCTCCTTGATGGCGTTAAAAGATTCTTTCTTTTTGCTGGAAGCTTTCTCAGACCCAGACTGTAGTGGTTTCTTCACAAAATAAGTATATTTGATTTTAGGTTGAGGTGAGTCACCCACAGTCAGAACCTGGATAGTTAAAGGTTCCGTCAGTGGGCTGAAACTGCGGATTCTTTCCAAAGCTGCAGATGAGCCACTGTACCTCAAAACACTGCCTTTATAAGTAATGTCTTGTTCCAATGTCGATAGAGTGTAGTCACCATTAAGAATATATGTGCCATCAGCAGCTTTAATAGCAAGGAAACTGCCATCATGTCGTGAACCCCTGTTATTTCGTTGCTTAACTTCAAGGTTGGTTGCTCCAGCAGGAATGGTGACAACATCATGATAACCAGGTCTACAGGGAACAAAATGCAAATATTGAGTCCTTAGTCTTCCACTGATTAAGGCTTCAATTTAGCAAAACACTAAATTTTGAGCTTTACCTTATACATATGCTCAAGTCCAATTAACTTCAATAGGACACAAGCATGTGCATAAATGCTTTGTTGAATCACATCCTAAATTACTGCTACAATACAGGAGGTCTTTGTCTGATGCACTTAATTTAATTGGGATTTTACTTTAAAAATTATAACTAATCAACTGATTTTAAAAGATTAATTTTCAATTCTAAGAGTAAACTGAGCCAATACCGGTCTTTGAAATGGAAAGGTTATTTTGCAAGATATTAACTACTGCAGATGAAAAGAGTAACAGTATTTGTAAACTCACTTTGCACTAACAAGTGTGCCCGACACTTTCTTACAGGTAGATCCATTGCCTCCACAGATACCACATTTGTCAAATTTCTTACTGGAGCCTATCATACGATCACAGCCAGCCTTTACACATTGTCCCTGCACACAGACAGAAGTGGAATCTGGGCTACATGAGGTGCCATCCACAACCTTTAAAAAAATTAAAAAGTAATAGTGCCTTTGATTAGAACATGGACATTTTATTTGCAAACACTGATAATAAAATTAAAATATGGATGCAACATGTCTCCCACCCCTTCATATTCTGAAGATAGCTACTGTTGAAAGTAAAACTTATTCATTTAAAGTATGCAGTGCTACTTCATTCCATTTGCAACACTAAAACTCAGTGGTAACATGAGAAATTGATTTAATGTCAGTGTTTATCAAAGGGATAACTTTAAATGGTTTAAGCCCATATAACGGAGGACATTGCTTCCTAAAGCCAGTTGGGTCAGTCTTGGGCCATGAAGCATAAGGACTGATAGCCCTTTCAACAGTATCCTACCTAGCATATAGCTGTAGAAGCTAGTCTTAAAAAAGTGTATTTATTTCTTATTTTAATCTTGCTAAGCCATTGGTTCCCAATTCCACTGCCTAAATATATTACATTAAAAAGTATTTCCTTTTGATCGTTTTAAGATGTTAGCCTTTTAGGAATGTGAGACAAAGAGCTGATATTTAATCTGAGGCTGAAGGACCTATGAAAAGTTGAATAAAATAATAGAAACACAATGTTCTGTAAAAACCCCAGTATAATAAAATGTGATGAGTATGTGAGTTTAAAAAGCTGTGACTGAGTTTGAAAGAAGCATGTCCACATATTTAAATCTAGTTTGTATTGATGGGATTAGACTACCTGTAGAACAGAGGAAGGGAAAATGTGGCTAAGATGTTTTAAAAGCTTGTGATTACAATATTTTAGTTTGCACATCCTTTGACTCCATTTTAAAAAATAATCAGAAAAGGTAAGAATTCCTGCTTAAAATTTAATGTACAACACATATTTTAAAACATACCTTAGGTTGCAGAACAAAGAAATATCCGGTGCCTTTTGCTCGGCAGACAAGTTTGCATCTGTCCTTTGGAGAGACTCCAGCAAACTTGGGTATCCATTCCACTGCAGGTCCACTTCCAAAAGGGGATTTGGAAATGTCATTGTGTGTTTCACACTGTTCTTCTCTGAAAGTTTTGCCTATACATATGAGAAAAATTAGTTTGACATTAGATCTTCATCTTTAATTGTCTTGCCCCCTCCCCCATCATCTCTCCTGCCCCCAACATCCCCTTCCTCCATGTCAAAGATCAACTCCAACTTACCATTATTATCTGGACAGTCCTCAATATTACACGATCGGTATTGCACCCGTTTGCCTTCACAGTACTTTCCTCCATTCTTTGGAACTGGGTTATCACACTCTCTAAAGGAGTACTGCACTCCACCACCACATGTCCTTGAGCAGTCTCCCCAGGGTCCCCATGATCCCCAGCCTCCATGGACAGGGGTCTAAAATGATAAACAACAAATATAACAACCACACTAAAACTCTTAATTAAGTTGAGCCCCTTGCACAAGATTCCTTCATGTTTTATTAGCTACCACCCTCAATTTACTCATTATCAGAAATCAAAACTATGTATCTTGTTGAAATATTATTGCATATTCTAGATTTTTTTTTAAATACTTACATCATAATGCTTCTTCTCAGTCTTGTTTACACACTTGCCATTCACACACCATTTCCCCTCTTCACAACTGGTGCCATCTGCCCAGGGAAAGTGTTTAGTTTGGCACACAAGCAATCCTCCAGAGATGCCAGTACACCACAAAGTTGTACACGTGCTGGCTGTGTCCGGACAATGTTTGGACTCATCTCCAAATGTAAACTGGCACTGCCTATTGGCATCATACAAAGTTCCAGGGAGATCAGAGGGAAGCTGTATAGGTTTGTGGGGCTTGTCCAGTAAACACTCACCTGGAGAAAAAATAGTAATCAATTAGCCAGTTTGAATGGGAAAAAAATATTTTATTTGTTTGATTGCACTTAGATTTTTTGTTCAAATAATTGTTCAGCCTTCATTATACCAACAATTATGTGAACCAGTTAAAGACTTCTTTAATGTTACTGGCAGTCAAGTAAAAGCATAACCTTGTACTGGAGTTCTCTAACAGAAAGTGTTGTAAGGAGGGGATTGCTTCATTTTTAGTTTAGTTTTTATTTAAGTAGGAAGAAATCAAAGATACATTTAGATGCCACATAAACGCTACGTGTACAAACTTGAATAGAAAGCTTAATAAACTTACCATGACCATTATCCAAAAATGTTGTAATCATGTAGGCACTGCACGGAGACCAAGGTTGGCTTCGATCCAGATTGGAAAGCATAGATGCCATCATGTGGGAATCCCGGCTTAGACCATTAATATTGGCACACTGCTTTGCATCGTCATGGGGCATGTTAAACACATGGCCTTTAAAAACAAATAAATAAATAAATAAAATGTTAGGAAGTTTGTTTTATGCATTAGCATATATTATTTAAATGTTAGTCTTGAACTAATCACTGAATGCATTTTAGATATTTAAAAGAATTATCTGAATAGTTCCAAAATTTTAAACAGATGCCAGCTTATTTTTGCCAATCTAAGAAAGATGGTGTTTCTGCAATTGCAGTCAAATCTACAGCTCCTGCAATCTGCCATTGTCTGTCTCCTACTGACTGACTTTAGAAGGAGTTGAGAACAGAACTGGGCCCTACGTACAGACCATTACATAATGAGATATTTACTTTATGGTATCAGACTAGTTTAAATTAATTCAAATCTCATGTCAAAGTTGAATTACCTAGTTCATGAGCAGTTGTGAAGGCAGCTTGCAATCCGTCGTCTTCTATGATAGAGCAACTGCGGTTTGGATCACAAATTGTTCCCACATCAGCCATCCCAAGAGTATCACATGTCTTGGCACCACAAAGGTCCTTTAAAAAAGAAGACAGTTTCATTTAACCCGGTCAAACTTAACCTTGGCAAGAATCATTCAACCTTGGCAGTTTGCCTTTACTTATGGAAAGAGCATTAAGATTCAGAATTTCAGTAGATAATATGGCAAAATTCTCCTTTGGAAAATGCAAAAATGCTTGTATTTATTCCATAATTTCAGTGCTAAATCTTGCTAAATAATCCATATATTAAAACAGCAATATGCTGCATATAAAGTGCCTTTCATCTGAAGTAACAGAACGTTACAAAAGGTGGTTAATTATTATCCCACTTGTTTGAGTCAATAATCTCAGACAACTGAATCTAAATGTGATTTTTCTGAAGAATGTAATTAAAAATGTTAGGCTTGCTTTGTTTGTAAAAGGAAGACCAAACGTTTCCTCTCCTTTTCCTTACCTGTCTGGTAAAGAGGATTGCTGTGTCATAGTGCTCTGCATGTCGGTCACTGGGTGGATTGTGTTGCTTTTGCCAACTGCAGAAGTTCCTTAAGGTAAGGGCAGCATTAGAAGAAACTTCAGGTCCCTTCTGCTCATCATAGATGACCAGAATTTTTACCAACACCAGACTAATAGAGTTTCGGATACTGGGATGCTTGTATAATTTGGCTGCCACAGACAACAAAGTCAGGAGATAGTGCTTCAATCCACTGCCATGAAACTCTGCCATGGATTGGTCTGCTACAAGCATGGTTTCTACATAGCGAGGGCTGGACACAAATCTTTTTTTCCTTGTGCTTCCAGTTTCTATATTAAAAAAGAAAAAAGGGGGAAATTGCATATGAATAGCCTGTCCAGAAACATTACTGTAAATGATTATAATAAGGAACTAGAACAAAATACAGTAACAAACAAAATTTGCATCTAAGGCAGGAAATATTTTACATTACTTTATTACTAAAGGCAGAATGACTGCACACCTACATTTGAAGTAGCCCGGTTTTGACCTCTGAAACTGAAACCTGAGCAGCTTTAACATAATCTCACCCACTAAGTTACTTTTGCTGATGCAGTAAAGAGCAACCTTGGCCAAGAGCCTATGAGGTGAGCCCTTGCAAATAAAAGGGTGACTCAGAAGTCTGAATGAGATCATTGGGCTCCACGTGGAAAGCACAGTGCAGTACTCCAGGCTCCTGCCAAGCAACCCGATTGCTACCGGGACCCTGCAACAGCACCGCCTCTTACCCTAGTAGGACACTGTGCCCTCCTCTGACTTTCAGTTCCACTCCTCCCCCTTCCCATGTGCTGCTCCTGTCAGAAGATTAAACTCCCCCATTCATACGCCCTTTCTGGGCTGCCAGGCACTGTAACTTCCCCTCTCTTTGCTGCATACCTGTGTCAGGGACATGAGTCGTTGTTGTGAATGAACATATTGTACATTAATTACTAGGGGGTGGGATTATTTGTATCAATATTTACAATAAATGTGCCTCTGCTTGGGTCTATATTTTGTTTACTCCCCTATTTAGTGAGCCAGAGTCTCTCTTCATTTACACCAGCGTAACTCAAATGACTTTAAAGGAGTTATTCCTGATTTTACGCACATGCAATTGAGATGACAGTCCTGGCTATAGTTCATCCATACACACACTCTATATTTGTAGGATATATGGTTTTTCATCGCACTAAACTTCTGTCCTTTTCCAAACCAACCTGCAGTACAGCTAGAGGTTACTGAGGGAGAAATACTTAATGTGCTGGAAGGGAGTACAAAAATATGTCTCCATCCCTGCCTGCGGGGATGTGCTCGGAAATGGAGGGTGGAATTGTCAAAAGAGCCAAAGGCTCATTTGAAAATCCCTCCCCAGGGTCTCTCTCTCCAACACGCACGAGATATTCACGCCCCTGAGGACGTGTCAATTTCAAGTCATCAGCCTGTCTGAGGCTTCGACGAGAGTAAATGGGAGAGAAGCTGCATGGCAGTCAGCCTGGGTCCCAGTACCTGTCTGGCCCACGCGCTCCTGCTGTCCCTCTGCGGCCAGGGGGACGCTCTGGTCTGTCACCCCGCACTTGGAGCCGCCGCTCTGGTGGACGCTGCTCTGCAGCCGCCGGCGCAGGAGGTGGAGCTGCTGCTGGGAGGCGTTGGCCGGCTGGATGAAGTACTCTTCCCCCTGCAAGTAGAAAGCCCCTCGGAGCCCATCGCAGAGGCTGAGGGCGGCGGCAGAGCTCGGGTCCCGGTTGACGGTGCCGGAGTAGAAGCAGCGCGCCAGGTCGGCTGCGGGTTGGTTCCCGAGCGAGGCTCCCTGCTCCGGCACCGCCTCCTCCTCCTCCCGGGGGCGGCTGCCCAAGTACTGCAGCCTGAAGTCCGGAGCCAGGAAGCTGCTGTCTGGCTCCAGCTCCAAGCTCAGCCGCTTCCCGAAGGCGTCCAGGCGATAGAGCCTCTTGGCAGCCGGCTCGGCCGCGGAGTCCAGCCGCACGGGCACGATCAGCTCCTGCTCCTCCCGCGGCCCGGGGCTGCAGCGACCGCCCGGGGGAAAGGGGCAGAGCAGCGCCGCCAGCAGCAGGGAGGCGAGCGGAGGGGCTGTCCCCATGCTGCACGCCGGTGCTCGGGCGGAGAGGCGCGGGGGGAGCGCAGGGAGCAGCTGGCTCGGGGGGCGAGACGCAGGCGCCCGGGAAGAGGCGCGGGGCAGTCGCTCAGGGGGCTGCAGCAGGAGCGCGGCGAGGTCTCGGAGTCCCTACAGAGGAGGCGCTGCCCTTGTCATGGCCGGAGCGCAGCAGCAGCCGGGTGGGGAGGATGCTGCGGGGCGCAGGAGCTGGCTGGGCTCCCCCCTGTCCTGGCGCTGCCGAGAGAGCTGGTGGCAGGAGAGGCTCCAACTGCCGGGCTCGGGGCGTCTCCTCTCCGAGTCGGGGCACAGCCGGTTGCAAGTCCGCAGCCCTGCCCGGCGTTCAGGCTTGTTGGGGGAGAAGAGGGGGCGTCCCTTCTTTGCAAACTCGCTGGGCTCCGAGCGCCTCCGCGGTGCGGCGTGAGTGCAGGAGCCGGGGCAGCCGGGGCCGCCCTTTATGGGATTTGCCCAGGCAGCCCCCACCCCCAGCCCCCCACATCTCCCCCCGCCAGGCACCGCCCCTAGTTCGGAGCGGCTGGAGCGCTGAGCTCACTGCCTGCGCAACCGTGTAGCTGCTGGTCCCCCTCCTTCCCGCCCATCGCCGCCGGGGCCTCGGTGCCCTTTGCTGGGCCGGGAGGAGCCGGGGCTGCCCCACACAAAGCGGGGTGAGCCAAGCCGACACTGCAGCCTCCTCCCCGCCCCTAGCCTGGTCTCTGCACGCTGCCAGCAGCCCAGCTTTTCCACGTCGGACGGAGAAGCCTGGAGCTGCTCAGGGCTGCAGCAGAGTGGAGGGCAGTGACAGGTTGCACAGCCTCCCCCCCCATCCCTTCGGTCCCCACCCGGCCTTTGTCGCTCCCGGGGAGCTCTGATTTCCCAGCCCCATTGTGTCGAAGTCGAACCACTACTTAAAATGCAAGGAGCACGAGAGGGGAACGTTGCTTTTTTCAGGAAAGCAGGCCTGGCCAGGTCCCCTGGACAGAGCCCCCTTTCCACAAGGGCAGCGATAACCTAGGCCACCCTCACCCAGTCGGAGCTAGGGTGGGTGAACCAGGCTAGAAGTGGCAAATGCAGCAGTTGAATTGTCAAGACAAATACTCCAGTAGTACTGAGAGTTCAGCTGGTAGCATTGCTAAAGTTTTACAATTCAGGTGATGAATATAGTACCCTCCTTAACTTGATAATTTTGGGCCAATCCACCACCTTTTCACTCTTTAGTTTTGTAACTATAGCTTAGTGCAAAGAAATTTTATTTTCCCTTCCAGTTACTCATTTTTAGACTTCTTCACAGTGATCCAGCTGGAACCACTGGTTAACAGGTTTATATATTATGGAAGTACAGGTGAAAGGCAAAGCAAATCTTAAGGTGATGTGATATCTAAGAACAGGGACTTTTTTTTTTAAAGTCTATCCAGCTTCCTGGTTTTTCACAGTCCTCATAACGCTTATAATCTGTTGTGCACCTATAGTTCTGGGACATTACTCCTTTTATATCACTTAAACAGAGAGCTTTATGTAGGTGCAGTCAATAACTTCCTTTAAAACCATAACCAACCATAGTGGTATAGCTTATCCACTTAATTCTTTATATGGAACTCATTTTAGGTGTTTACAGTTTGACTTAATATTCTACTTTTCCTCCAATTAAGGCCCTTCTTTAAGAATGAGGGCAAAGAATCAATAAACAAGTGTCTGAGTATTAACAGAAATACTATCCTTATTAGTGATCCATACCAGCACTTCAGGATTTAAATAATTCCTTAGTGTCACTTGAATATGAAGCTAAAATTCTGAGGCCAAAACAACTATTCTCCATGATGTGGCCTTTGTGTGCATGAACACTTCTACAACTTCATTTACCTACTGTACTCTCTGTATGCAGTGCCAATCCTACACTGTAGCAAGATAAGTCTTTCCCTCATTTTTCTTCATACTTCAAGCATAAATGTGGGTACATGTATCTATATTGTGTTGATATTATAACACATTTATTGCCAATGCAGTTTGATAAGCTATAGTCTTTAAGAAATATATTTGGCAGAGGAATGTAAGACAAAATGTATCTGATTCTCCCTTCACTTATACTAATGTACATCTGGAGTAATTCCACATAAATCAATCAGCAGTTAATCCACTATAAAATGGTTGTAAATTCAGAGTCAGGCCTAGTGTGTCAGAACATGTCACAATTAGAACTTATTTGTAAGGGATTTTAGTTGATATGCTTCAGCAAATTTCCCTCAACCGTATCAAGCATTTTTAGTTTTGAAAGACAGACAAAGTTGTCATCCATTAAGGATTGAAATTTCAGTATACAGTGGGTATTTTAAGGTCTATATTTTTGTTGATACTCAAGTATTATAACTTAAGTCTAGCTATGCTCATAAAGGCTGTAGCCTTACCTCAGAGACCTGGCGATATGTACCAATCAGTAATTTCAAAATCATGCTTTTCACATTAATACCTGAAAATACTTGATAAATATGCTGTAAATATGCATTTTATCAGGAATTAACCTTACATCATACCACTATTCAGCAAGGAAATCCCTCTGTTGGTGTGCAACTCATTTAATATTTCTACATTATCTCATTGGTTTCAAGATTTGAAGAATCAGAGGGGTAACTGTGTTAGTCTGGATCTGTAAAAAGCAACAGAGTCCTGTGGCACCTTATAGACTAACAGAGATACTGACCACCTTAAATAATGTTTCTATATGAAAGGACTCTCTTTTTCCACCAGATGGCACTCTGCTATTAAAAAATCTTTTGAATGTATTTCTTTAACAGCTTGTCTCTTGGGTTTTCAAACTGTTATGGTGAAAACGCTTATATTTTATTACTGTTCTCAAAACTTTTATGATTCGGACAAGTAGTTTAAAGTGTTCCTGCCTTTTATATAACATCCAAGAAACTTTTAATAAATGGCAGCAATTCAATGACAGTTTCTTTTTCCTCTTGTTGCATTATGTGCTTCTTCAAATGTAAAATTTTGTATATAAATGATGTATTATGTGAATATAACAAAAAAGTGCTAATTAGTCAATTAAACTAGCAAACATCAAAACAAGTGAAAAGTTTAGAAAATAACCTGTACAGCAGTTCATAATCTCTCTAACATTGGTACACACTAGGCTCCCCAGTTCTGCAAATGTTTACACATGTATTTAACTTTGTGCATATGAGTAGTCCCCCTGAATTCAATTAGATCACCCATGACAAAGTGTGTGTGTAAGTGTTTGGTGGATCAGGGCTTAAGTCAATCACATTTTCTCTAAATCAAAAGCAGCGTGATAATTCCCTGAGGGTAATTTTACAAAGCTGAAATAAACTAGTTGTACTTTTCAGTTCATGGAATTAATGGTTATTCAGAAGTTAGTCACTGAACATTTTTGTCATGAGAAATGATTCCTATTATTTAAGAAAACTGTCAAAGAAAAAGCAGCTTGCTTGAATTAGAAAAAAGTGAAATAGTATAAACCACCAGATGGAGCTAACAGATCATAGTCACTGTTGAAATAACAGCAGTCTGTGCATTAACCATGAAAAGTATTGTAAATACCTGAACAGTTTTACCAATGATGCATTTTTGTGTTTTTTATGCCATTACTTTTGTAACTTACTATAAAATATTTTTTTAATTGTGAAAATATTATCTATTTTAAATGCAATCAGGGTTTTAAACTTTAGGAATTATAATAATTTAGAATTCAAACAGCAGAGGGCACATTAGGCCATTGAATAGGAGATGCAGTCTCATGATGCAACTGAAAACACATAAAAGGAGCACGTCAATTAAGCTTAAAACTAAAATATTTTGCTTAAAACTCATTTAAAGAACAGTTTTTTTTCTGTACTACCTTTTCCATCATTGCTGGTGATTCCTTAAGTGTTTGTAGAGAACTCTATTCTAACCAGCTTGTTTTACATGTTCAGTAGCATGTGTGTGCTTGGCATTTCACAGAGAAAGAGAACTCATCATAGAACTAGTAGGGACCTTGAGAGTCTTCTAGTCCAATCCCCTGCACTCAAGGCAAGACTAAGTATTATCTAGATAATCCCTGACAGGTGTTTGTCTAACCTGCTCTTAAAAATCTCCAATGATGGAGATACCACAACCTCCCCAGGCAATTTATTCCAGTGCTTAACCCCCCTGACAGTTAGGAATTTTTTCCTAATGTCCAACCTAAACCTCCCTTGCAACAATTTAAGCCCATTGCTTCTTGTCCTATTCGCAGAGGTTAAGAAAAACAACATTTCTCCCTCCTCCTTTCAACATGACTGAATGAATTGGACAAGATTCTTTGCTCAGTCCATTCAGTTACGGCAATTTGTAGTTTATGACTAAGTTTATTACACGTAATTGATTTTGATGTCACTGTCATACTGTCTGGAGTGGCTCACAGGCAGTAGTGCCAACCTTAGGGCAGACTGTCAAGAAGCAGGGCAAAAACTCCAAACTGGTTGGTTGTATGTTCTATATTTACATTTCATCACCCAACTATCAAGTGTGAACTTCTGAAGTGCTGTAAAAGCCTTGACATGGAGTTACAGACAGTCCCCCTGGGCACTCCAGTTTATCCTGCCACCCTGGCAAGCTTGACTTTGTGATAGATGGTCACTTTACACCAGAAATCACAACACTATTCAGGTTACTCCCCGTCCCAAAGGACCGGTCACTTACCCCAGGTCAATTGTACTTAGATCTATAACCAAAGACAATGCTTGTAGACAATCCTGTAACAAACTAGTTTATTAACTAGAAAAAAGAAATGAGAGTTATTTACAAGATTAAAGCAGGTAAACATACACACACACACATGCGTATCAGTCTTGAGTTTCAAAAGATAACAGAAACTTCTATCACACACACACGCTATACTTCCTTCAGGGCTAACCCAGGCAAAACATGTGGGGGACTTTAGCTTATGTTTAGCGATTCTTGCTCCTTTAGAGTCCAAGCGGAAAAAAAGAACTCAGTTTCTCCTTGTCAGGGATTTTTATCACTTCACCCCAGAGTCCAAGCTGATGGGATGAATTCATGAGCAAGTCTCTGGAGGGGTTGAGGAATGCAATCAACAGGTCTCTGTCCTTGTCTTGCTTCACAATGGCTCATTTGCTTTCAGTGGGCCTACTTTGTGCAGGACCAGCACTTTACTTTAATTGATGCTTCTCGATTTGGTGAGTTACACAAGGTTTACAATGCAGAGGTTTACAATGCAAACATTTGCTATCGCTGTATAACATGGTGTACAGATAAGTAAGACTAATACATGCAGCATCCTACAAGCCATTCATAAGGTCTAAATACATTCTTACATCTGGTTTCCAGCTATGCATTCGTAAGTGTTCAGTGAGGCCCAGGGCCTTGGCATGACCATTACTAACACTAGATCAGGGATCAGCAACTTTTGGCACGGGGTCCACCAGGGTAAGCACCCTGGCG